GGAGGACATGGGGCCTGGAGAGGTAAGAGAACTCCAGAACTTCTTTAGCAGGACTCTTCAAAGACCTCAAGCTCGTGGGTCTGTAGTGGCAGGCTCTGTCCTGCAGGACTCGGTTCTTCTGGGGCCTGACTTGCATTCTCACATTGCATACACAGGGTGAACGTGACCCCGCGGCCACCAGCTCCACTCTGGGCCTGCAGGAGAACATGAGGACCTCTTGAACTCAGCCTTGGCCTCTGGACTTGACTCAGTGTGTGGTTTCCGGCAAGGGCTGGTGGCTTCGAGCCAGGGCAGAGGTCATTCCCAGGGGCTTTCCTACCAGGCAGACACCAAGTTGCCCCTCTAGTTCAGAGTGGAGACAGGCGAGACACTGCAATTCAGAGCTCTGGGTCCAATTCCACACTTGCCCTCCTGAGGGATGCCCCCTGCAGTTTCAGCTACTCTGGGTCCATGTGGTTGGGCTCCTCACACACCTAGACCCTAGCTTTGTGTTTATGGCTCCGGCTCTCACTGTCTATCCCAGGGCCTCACCTTCCTAGATTTGTGCTCTTCCGTATGGAAGCCACTAGCCAGATGTGAGGATTTGAACTTAAATTAAAATATGATAAAAATATGCCTCAGTTGAACTAGCTAAGTGGACATGTGTGGCCCATGGCTACCACACTGGACAGCATAGGATGCTTATCATTGAGGGAAGTTCTGAAGGCATTCCCTGGGAGGCTCATCAACAGTGCAGGTGCCTGGCACACATCCCACCTCCTAAACCAGAAACACAGGCCACTTTGTTCCTGAGGCTTAAGAATTGCTGTCCTGGAGCTTTTGGACTTGTAAGCTCCCCGTCAGCCTCGGGTCAGCACCAACTGGCAGCTGTAAGCACTGAGCAGGGGCTCCAACACCCAGCAAGTGTGTAGTGTGCCCATGCGCCACACAGGCATTCACAAACCCCCATGTGCACACCCCCCCTACACACACAATCCTCCACCCCCACTGTGGGTTGGAACAGCTTGGGTACTCCAAGTGCAGCCATCTGAACACACCTACACCCCCCAGGCAGGGACACATGGTCTCCATACAGTGTCACCCCCATGGGACGATGCTCCTTCCTGAGGGAGGCGGGCCAGACCAGCCCTTCTAGCCACAGAACCTTACTCAGCTACCTCAGGTGGAGGTATAAGCTTGGTGAATCCTGGCTTCTTGCCTGTGGCCCAGTCCCAGCTTCCGTGGCCTGCCCAGCTTGGTTGGAACATGAAGGCTGAGGAGGCAAGGGGTGGGGCACAATAAAAAGAAATGAGGACAAATTTTCTGTCTTCTTTGTTTTCCTTTTAAACCCTTCTGAAGTTCTGTGCACCTGTGAGATGCACAGCTGAGCTGAGCATCTGAGCTCCCTGTGGGCAGGCTGGTGAGGGGTGCCTGAGCCCAGCTGGGTCAGTGAGCTCATAGCAGTCCCTGAGCTCCATCTCCACACAGGACAGGGCACCAGCACTCTACCCAAGCCTGAGCAAGCTCTTCTCCGGGCTGTGAGGGCAGTTGAGCACCCCAGAGGCAGCCTCGGGAAACAGGGTTGAGAGAAGGGCTTATTGTCCCAGGAGTGGGGATTTGGGGGTACTTCCCCAAAGAAAGTGAGGCTCGAGGCTGGAGAACACAGAAGGCTCCATGTGGGCACGCCCTCCAGCCTGGGCTCACAGCCAGCCAGGGGTTCTGAGTACCCCCACCCTGCTCTGTCTAGACCAGTCTGAACGGCATAATTTCTCATACTGATGGATCTGTACATTTCAATCTGGTGGCCACTTGCCAAGGGTAGCAAATAAACACCTGGAGCCGCTTCACTTTTTAATGTTTTTTAAACAGTGCCTTGCTATGTGGCTCATGTTGGTCTGAAATTCATGATCCTCTTGTCACAGCTCCTCAAATGCTAGGATCACAGGTACTTGGCACCATACCCAGTTCTTATTTACTTTTAATTCACCAAAGTAGCTGTATGAAGCCAGTGGCTAGCAGAGTGGACAGCATGGGCCAGTTGTTCTCTCAGACCTTGGCCTTCTGCCCCCTTCCCCAGCCAAGAACCTTCCACCTTCCTCTTTCCCAGCCCCCGAAGCCTGGGCTTCCTGTCTCTTTCCTCCTGAGTGGCAGAAAAAAGAAGTATCCAACCAGCCCAGATACCTCTAGCCAAGGCGGCCTCTCTTGCGTACCTCTGGCTCCTGTTCTGCTGTGGACCAGCCTACTCCCTCTTCATTGCTGCCCTTCCAGAAAGACCAGTTCACCCTTGTCTGCAACCGGCCTCCACCCCCATCACTTCCAGATGCCCTTGCCAAGGTCGCTAGAAGAGTCCTTGATGCAAACTCCACAGGGATACTCGGACTTGCGTCTTGCTTGGCTCCCAGCATTTAACCACTGTTCAAAGATTCCTTACAGTGGTAGGCCAGTGCAGCCTCTCCTGACTCCCTGGCAGGCCTGGAGAGTAGGGGAGGAAAGCCTCTTGCAGCCCTCACACAGCGCACCCTGTGTCCTTGGCAAGTGGCCTCTCTCCAAGACTCCTCTGTATGTTAGGGGTACGGCAACCTCTGCTAAGGTTGGGATAAGAGAGATACACATGAAAGTGCCCAGGACAGTGCCTGGTACACTGGTACACAGTATCATCACTCACTGTCTCTGGATACATACATACATACATGCATATATATTGTCCTCTTGGTGCTACAACCCTTGCTCCTTGGTTGGGCACATGGCTGCCTTTAACGGAGGCTGCATTTCCATGTTCTATCCCTTTTAACTGGGTCTGGTTATATGACAAAATTTGAGGTAGTGGGATGTATGGGGGGAATGTTCTGTGGCACTTTCTGGGTACTTTCTCTAAGAGACTGTTGAGATGAAGAGATGGCTCAGTGGTTAAGAGCACTTGCTGTTCTTGCAGAGGACCCAGGTTCAGTTTTCAGTCACATGGTGGCTCATAATCACCCGTATATACATACATACATACATACATACATACATACATACATACATACATACAGGCAAACCATTTATCCACATAAAATAAATAACTTTAAAAAGAGAGACTTAGGGGCTGGAGAGATGGCTCAGAGGTTAGGAGCACTGGCTGCTCCTCCAAAGGTCCTGAGTTCAATTCCCAGCAACCACATGGTGGCTCACAACCATCTGCAATGAGATCTGGTGCCCTCTTCTGGCCTGCAGGGATGTGTGCAGGCAGAACCCTGTATACATAATAAATAAATAAATCTTGAGAGAGAGAGAGAGAGAGAGAGAGAGAGAGAGAGAGAGAGAGTGTTAGTGTTGATCCTTTGTTGTTTTTCTCCATTCTAAAACCTGGAATGTGTATGTGATGACTGGAGGAGCTCTGGCCCCGATTCAGAACCACGAGGACAGAGGCCATCTCCAGAGCTTGCTGGTACAGGGGGTGGAGAGAGCCACATTTGGAAGGTTTTTGTGGAGTAGAGCCATTATATCCACCCAGAAGCATTTCTCGAGGCTTACGTGTGAGACTTTTGTTGCCTAGGTCAGAATTTTGATCTTACTTGGGACAAGTGTTTTGCTCTTGGCCTTGTTTTAGATGATCTGCTCCTTTCCATGGCTCTACTTAGGATTGTGGGTCCTCGAGGGCTCTCCAAACTGTCCTGTTGAGGTGTAGCTCAGCAGTAGCACACTTGCTTAATATGCAGGAAGCCCTGGATTCAATCTCCAACACTGGGACAAAAATGGCTCTTTGGCCCAGCCCTCTTCTGAATCCCTGCCCTATAGATCCATTTCTCCAATTGCTCGATCCTCGGAGCCTCCGGGTCTCAGCGCCCTTCACCTGAGTCTTTCCCATCTGGACTAGGAACTCTTGAGACCAAGGGCTGTTCTTGATTTCTCCAGAACAGCCTGACCCCTGAGAGGTGTCCCGCTGATGAAGGGCTGCTGGCCATTCTGGATATCCAGGAGGACATGGGGAAGGCTTCCTAGCGGCAGGAGTATTGAGCCCCAAAAGACAAGTGGGGCTGGTGGTGAGGAGTGAACCGTGGAGGGCTTGAGGGAGACCTATTCTCAAGGTAGTGGGGACAATGGAAGATCCTAGGAGGCAGCTGTCGGGTGTTTCTGAAAACCTGTCCACGTTGGCCAGCGGGAAGTGAGACTGGAAGCGGGAGACATGACTAGTGGTTGAGCTCAGGGAGGGGCAGAAGGTGGAGAGAGGTAGGTAGACTTTAGGGATCTTTAAGAGGTAGCATGGCAGAACCTTGTGCTACACTGGTTGGGTCAGAAAACCTGCTACGCAGGCAGGCTTTCAGGTGGTAACTCCCGGTTTCGGACTCCAGCTGGAGACAGGGACACAGGGGAGACCAAGTTGGAGACAACAATATGGGTCTGGGCTTGAGGCAAGCAGTGATGTGGGGTTCTCCAAGAGACTAACAGCAGGATCGAACCAAGAGTCTGTGAGGGCCAGAGTCCCCAGGCAAGGCCTCTTGGTCTTGTCGGGCTCTTTTCCATTCCCTCAGCCCCACTTAGGGGCTTGTTCCCTCCTGCTCCTCCCCAAACCTGAGTGCTGCCCAACCCCAGCACTCCGCCGGTCCTCCCTGCTCGGCTTCTCCCTACCCCAGGAGAACACTCAACTCCAGGCCCTTCTCCCGCTGCCTCCGCCTAGCCTCTCCCTGGCACGCACCGGGCCTCATCAGCCCCGAGGAAGGGATGCTCTTGCCTCTACAGGCCAGGACACAGGATTGAAGACTCGGGAAAAAGCACCGTACGCTTCAGGCCAGGCTGAGGGGCTCACGACGTGGCCCGAGGGATTTCGGGTTCCCTTAGCCTGTCTGTCTGCGGGCGCCGGGGGCGTGACGCGTCCGGGCCCAACCGCAGGGCCCCTCCCGAGCCGCCTCCTCCCGATCCCGTCGAGACCCCGCCCCCTCCGCCCGCGGGCGGCAGGACCGGGCTCCGATTGGACGGCGCTGCGGGGCGCTGCGCGGCGCAGCCAATGATAGCGGGCCGGCGCGGCGGCGGGCGGGGGAAGCGAGCGCTGCCTGGAGCCGCGGCGCCGGCGGGTTGAGCGGGGCGATCCCAGCCCGGGGAAGCGGGCAGGGCGGGGCGCGCGGCGCGGGAGCGAGCCTGGCGCCCACCGTAGAGACTGTCGCGAGGTGCCGAGGTAGGGGTCGGCGGCGGCAGGGACTTGGAGTGGGGAACTGGGGTGCGGACGGCTGAGCCGCTCTGTGCAGCGAACGTGTTGTAGAGGGGTGGTCTGCGAGGCCGCGTCTACGTGGGCAGCCCGAACCTAGCGTGCAGCGATCCCCACTGTGTCTCCAGGGCCAAGTCCGCGGGGTGGCTCCTCGAGCCTGCGTCTGTCTAAGCCAGCTATGCGGGCGCCCGGCCACCTACGTCCCTTCCGCAGATGCTGTCTGCGGGACTGCATAGGAGCCCCACGCATGGTGCCCCGGGCCCCAGCTCTGGGTGGAGGCCGTGTCTATGCGGAGTGGGCCTGGACGGGTGCACCCACGTGTGGATCTCCGTGGAGCGCTCCTCCCACGGCCCTCCAGTGAGTCTTCCGTGGAGAGCTGGGGGCGGGGTAATGAATGGGACGGATGCGGCGAGCGGCTTCAGCTGCTGCGTAGTCGTCTCCTGGCTGAGGGTGGCGGAGGCGGGCGATGCAGCTTCTGGTTCTGGTGGGCACAGGATTGGGGCTCCGAGGGTGCACACGTGCGCGGGGAGCTGTGTGTGGTGTTTGGAGGCGGGTGTGCGTGCGTCACGTGGACCCAAGAGTGTGCTTGTGTACTTGGGGGTTGCGTTTCAGGCTGGAGTGGTGTGTGAGCACGGGTCACGAGGACATGGGTTACATGTCAAGGAAGGGGTGTGTGCTTGTCTTGAGGGTGTTGCAGAGTGAGCAGAGCTCTCTGTCACATGCCCTGGGTCCCAGGACTATGTTCCAGTGAGTGCCTCTTTGTCTTGGCCAGGTTCAGGATGTGAGAGAAACACACAGCTTGTGTCCTTGAAAATTCCAGGGAAAGGGAAGAGGCCAGGCCTTCACATCCTTGTCTCCTCCATCCAACACACACTGTGCACAGGTCAGACTGTTCTAGACCCACACACTTCAGGGAGCCCACTGCTTGCTCCTCGGTCCCTCCACACTCAATCTTCACAGCAGAAGTGGGGATCATCTTAAACCTCATCCAACAGAACTGCTTCCCTGTCTGATGTTGGAGGCCTTCTGGTTTCTGTCTACAAAGGCCTGCCCAACCCCACACCAAGCCCTGAGTCCCACTTTGGGAAGGCATCTCTCTTAGGCAGAGGGTGAATCCCCAACCCCCAATCCTGCTTAGTGGTCAAAAAAGAACTTCAGTGTCACCCCCTCCAGGAAACACCCCCGAGGCCAGTGTAAGTAGACCGTGGCTTCAGATGTACCCCTCCATCAGAGACCTCTCACGCAGAGCAAGCACCTTCCCACCTCATGGCACTTGCTTCTATGGGCCAGTCCCTCTGACTAGAGATGCTCTTCCCCAGACGTCCGCACTATTTACTGCCTTAGTCCTTTCATAGTTGCTTAGATCTTGCATCTGAAGTCAAGTGTCATTGTCTTATTCCTGCGCTGTCTTGTTACAATAGCTGTCCTCCCAGGGTATCCCACGTAACCTATCATATATTCAGTCCTAGCTTTCTTATTTGTTGCTTCCAGCCTCTACCAGAAAGCAAACGGTGGGAGCAGGGACTTGGTCTTTTAGGTTCACTGGTTTATCTCCCAGTCCCTATATAGCAAATTCCCAATGAATAGTTGTGGCAGGATGCATGGCTCTGGATTTGCATGTCAGGAGTCACTGTGCCTGTCTGTTCCCCAGATTCTGAGGGCCCTGAAGAACTCGGGGCAAACTCCGAACATATTTGCATGTTAGAAATCCTCCCCCTAGCAATCGGTGTGGAGGAGGGGAGTGGGATCTGAATCTGGAGGTAGGGAGACCCCAGGAAGTAGGGAAAGAACAGTGAGGTCAGGATCTGGCTGTTTTATCCCCGAATCTCTGCTGTTTGTGGGGTTCAACTTAGCTCATCCAGCCAGCAGTGGAGAGATCAAAGCGGCATCTCAAAGGAGGTGATGTCTGAACTGGTCTTCAGGAAGTGAAGCCAAGGGAGGCGTGTTCCTGGCAGAAGGGCACAGCGTGTGCAAAGGCCTGGTGACACAGAGCTTGTGGCTGGGGAAGCTTGAAGTGGTGCGGTGCAGCCGGAGGGGGCCGCAGGAGGTAGGCCGGGGGGGGGGGGGGGGGGGGCGAGAGAGGGGAGAAGGGGGAATAACCCTTCTGCGACTCTTGCCTCCATGGCCCAGGCACTGTGAGAACTGGGGAAATGGAGTTCCCACTTCTGTGATAGGGGCAGAGGAGGATAAACAGTCCAGGGATGATGCTTGAGTTGGATGGGTCCCTGACGGAGCTGAGCTGCCCAGGAACAGGGAGGGGAGGAGCTCCCTGGAAAGAGGGCGGAGGCTGAGAGCTGCCATAGAAGAGGAGGACCACAGACGTCAGTTTCCACAGGTGGGCCGAGGGATGCCTTGAGGACAGCTGCAAAGGGGGAGTCATGAGCCCACCTGGGTGTTCGGGGGATCCCCAGAGGTAGTGGGAGGGCCACCCTCACAGCAGGCATCCTTGAGCATGACTTGGCACCAGACTCCTGGGTCTCCCTCAAGGGGACTGAGTCATCCCAGGCAGGGGCAGGAGCTGCAGAGGGCACCATTGCCAGAGCCATCAGACCCTTGTCAGAAGCATAAACAGGCTACAGTGAAGCATCCCTAGGATGTCACGACCACTTTGGTGTGTAGCCCACAAGGCTACTACCTCCTTGCATTACCCCCCCCCACCCCCACCCCACCAGTCCTTTGCTGATGAGGGCTGCTCATCTTCTGCCTGGATGGTAATTGGTCCCTGGTTCAGCCTGGCTCTGGAACATTCTAACAGAACTCCGAATGAGATCTGAGGTCACTGGTCTCTGAAGTTACCGTAGATAGGGCTGCTTGAGCCCGTGTAGGTGACAGCAGGGTCTCCTGGCTCGTTCCTCTTCTAGACTCTCGGACCTAGCTGGATGGGGCATGTCCTCAAAAGGAGGTCAGACGAAGTGGGCTTCTGAAGCCAAGAGCTTGTGTACATGGGAGTGGCAGACACTTGGAGGGTGGGGTGCAGCTTGGAGGAGAAGCCGGAGCCAGGCCAGTCTAGAGCCAGGCACCAAAAGTAGGTTGTTTTTGGTAAAGTGGGGCTCACTCTGAGTTGCTTCCAGATACACACACATTCTAGCCACGTATTACTCGGGCACAAACTGCTTTTGTGTCCACAGATCCCTCCACTTCCTTCTAGGGCTCCCAGAGAAGACAGGACAGTAACCGTCTATCTTACTCACCTGTGGGAAAACTGATGCTTCAAGAAGCTTCAAGAACCTACCTAGCCCAGCGTGGTGGCACAGGCCTTTCATCCCAGCACTTGGGAGGCAGAGGCAGGAGGATCTCTGAATTCAAGGCCACCCTGGCCTACAGAGGGAGTTCTAGGACAGTCAGGGCTACACAGAGAAAACCTGTCTCAAAAAACCAAAATAAAAATAAGAACAAAAAGCTTCATGTCCTAGCCCAGGCAGCACAGCTCCCATCTGGGAGAACAGGATTTGAACTTTGCCTAACGAGAGAAGACCTGTGGCTGGGGTTGTTATCTAGGTCAGTGGAGGGACTGACCCCCAACACTCCACCCCCCACACTGACAAGAGTCTTTGCTGTGCCCTGGGAGTGGGTCTCAGCCTGTCTGTCCATCTTTCTGTTTGTCTGCTTGACCCCTGCTTACCTGCTGAGTCAGCTTCTACAAAGCATTCTCAAGGCTTTAGTTTTGGGTGGGGCCTTGAGAAAACCCATTGCATGAGCTGCCAAGGAGGAGTGGACCCTCAGGCCAGCCTTACAAACCATCACCAGTCCCAGGCTGGTGGGACAGGGGATGTGTGGGGAAATCCAGACTTGACCTCTGGAGTCCCGCTCCCCTGGCCCTGGCTGCACGCATGTGCAGGTCTAAAGGGCCAGAAGTGCACACGATCAACCGGTACAAGGGGATCCCTCAGAGAGCGAGAACTGCTTGTCTGCACAGATGTGCTCCTAGGTGCAGAGCCACAGCACAAGGATGCACAGCCCCCAGCCTCTTCCAGGATGTTCTCTCTGGGTCAGACACAGGCCCTCGTGTGCACAGCACAGCCGCAGGCCAGGCGCAAGGCCCTGTCTCCTGGACACTCACTCGGCAGGAACTTTGGGCCTTCCCTGTTGCCTCCCTCCAGCCAAGCCCTGCTTAGTCACCTGAATTTGATCCAGGCAAGAGGGAGGCATGGATGGAGAGCCTGACGTCAGCTCTCACAGCCTCCTCCCACCGCCACCCTCGCATCCATCTGGGCCCCAGCTCATCCCATGCAATCACAACTCTTTCTCTGGAGCGTGTTAGTGGCAGGCGCTGTTCTGTGTCCCTACCAGACATCAGCACCTTTACACCTCACAACCACATGAGTGTGAGACTTGCCTTGTGGCCCGTTTCACTGATGAGAAATACCCAAAGCTATCTGCCCTCCCCACCTCTAAGAGCCAGGAAGTGGGCAGCCTGGCATCCCAGCCCGGGTACCAAGCCAGGTAACAGTCTTTAGACGAGAACAGGAAGGCCTCTGCACCCACTTGCTGTGTGACCCCAGAGCATTCTGAGGAAAAGGGGGAGAGGGAGCTAAAAGGAAAGTGACTTTTTTTGGAGTTGTAATCTGAGGGAAATTATATGCAAATGTTATGGGCCAGGGCGGCCTGTGGCTTCTGTCTGCTGGGGGCTCCCCTGAGAGCAGAGGGCGGGAACTTCTGACTGTCTTCCATCCCCTGATGTGGTCTACTGCCTGAGGCTGGTTGGGGTTCCCTCACTGAGGCTGCTTTCCTATCCATGTAATGGGAACAGGGCTGTAGAGATCACTATGACGACCACTTGTATTCAGCAAATATTTATCAAGCTCTTATGTGCCAGGCACTGCTGAAGACACAAGTGATCTTACGGAGACAAAGCAGACCGAAGAGCTTATCTCAGTGCTTAGGACCTGGTGGGGAGGACTGCCCTATGGGGAATGGAAGAGAGGGTGGAGGAGTCATCAGGCGTGGGGAGGCTCTTCTGAGCCTTGAAGCCCCCCTCCCCCTCCTCACCTCTTCCAGGGAGGCCTTTCAGAGCTCCAGCCTCTCAAATTCCCCCATCCTCTTCCTTTCTTCATGTCAGCAGCAGCTCTGCTGCCTCCTGGCTCCCAGTCACTCAGCACAGGTGGTCCCAAGCAGAGGCTCTGACCCTTGCCCTGTTACAGTCTACTTCCAAGTCTGGTGGTATCCAGGGCAGCTAGGGAGGCATAGCATCTACAGTACAGAGGGGGAAGCCTGGCTTGCCCCAGACCCGTGGTTGGCAGCAGAGGTGGCTGGCTTCCCTACCTGTGGATAGGGTATTCCAGCCAGCCCTACCACCTCGACAGCATTCACAGCCAAGGATGGAGAGCCACAGATAGAATGAGCACATGTCGCCCATGGGACCTGTATCCTCTGAGTTGCAGTCAGGATAGAGGAAGTCACCAAACCGACCGGAAGGGCAGGGGTTCAGGAGTCCACTTACTTCCTTTTCTGAGAAGATGCAGAGTGAGGCCCAGGAGGGAGCCTTGGGTGGAGGTGGAGCCAGAATGTGGGCTGTGGCAGAGACGGTTGTCCTGGTCTGAGAGTAAGTCAGGGGTTCAGCATGTAGGTTGGGGGTTGACTTGAGGCTCAAGCCAGGGCTGCTGCTAGGGTTTTTAGCTGGTTGGGGAACATAGACTGCAGTAGATGCAAGGTATGTGTGAAGCCAGACCCAGGAGCACGTCGGCCCCAGTAAAGCAGCCATAAGGGACGTTTTGGCACATGGGCAGTCTGGAGGAAAAAACAGGAGGACAGAAGCTGCACTAGTGTCTTGTGTGGCAGAACGGCCCCTAGTGCACCCTCCTCTGGGCTAGGAGCTCTACTGGAGCAGGGAGGTGAATGATTAGATTTGCTTTGGGGTCTTGAAGATAGTGAGAGGAGGTGACCGAGGCCTGAGACCTCGGGAAGTGCTCTTGAAAACAGTGAGAGGGACTAGAGTGAAGGTCTGGGGTATCCAGAAGGCATTCCTGGAGGAGGTGTCTGGGTCTGCAGCTCCAATGCCCAGGCTGCTTACATATAAGGGGCTATATTGTAATGGTCTGCCAGCAAGTATGGCGACTGGTGAGCTACTGGGCTGCCTGGATGGTTGGGACTGATCTGACCTGGAACTCTGTGCCTTAGTGTGGCTAGACCTCCAGGTCTGCCACGTCTGCCTGTCTTGACTGCAGAATCAGTTTTGTTACACTTCTCTATGAAGCCATCAGGGTAGAAGTGACTGGACCTATTTTACAGGCAGGGGCGCTAGGGGCTAGAGGGCTGGCATGCAGCAGAGCCAGGTGAACTACTAGGAATCCCTGGATTTATGTGCCAGCAAGCCAGGCCCAGGGAACAACTGGGAGGTGGGTCTATAGCACTGTGGCTTGGCCCAATCCACTTGCCTGGCCAGGAGTGACACTCTCTCCTCTCTCAGGTTCCTACCAAGGTTATCCAGAGGATCCACTGACTAAAGTGATGGAGAGTGGCCCGGCCGTCTGCTGCCAGGACCCTCGGGCAGAGCTGGTAGATCGGGTGGCAGCCATCAATGTGACCCACTTGGAAGAGGCAGATGAGGGCCCAGAGCCTGCCAGGAATGGTGTGGACCCTCCACCCCGGGCCAGAGCTGCCTCTGTGATCCCTGGCAGTGCTTCAAGACCCACCCCAGTGCGGCCCAGCCTCTCAGCTAGAAAGTTCTCCCTGCAGGAACGGCCAGCCGGAAGCTGTCTGGAGGCCCAGGTTGGGCCTTACTCTACGGGCCCTGCCACTCACATCTCTCCTCGGGCCTGGCGGAGACCCACCATCGAGTCCCACCATGTGGCCATCTCAGACACGGAGGTTGGTGAGATGGAGTTAGGTAGGAGTTGTTCATGGGCCTGCCAGGAAAACCCGGGATTTTTTGCCCACCATCTGTCCCGTATACTTAGCTTTCTTTGATTTGCATACTTTGAGAGCGGAGAAGCTCACTACCTAGCCAGCAGGGTTTCTTCCTACCCAGAGAAGAGCCATCTAAAGCAAAGGTTACCTCCTGTTTTCTTCCTACCTTCAGCCCAGACAGAGGACCCTCTCTTGTTCCTAAGAAGCCTTCTTAGAGCTTTGGAAATAGATCATGTACGTCCCAACCCCCTGCATCATCCCAAGCTCGAGCCATAATCCTGCCCCCCAAGAGTGCTCTGACTTAAAAACTGCAGTGTGCTTCCAGTTTCTGGCCTTTCACGGGCTTGGATCTGAATGTGAACTTGAGTAGTTGGTGGGAGCGCAGCATAGCCAGGATTCCACCCTTCATATTTTTATATATTACCCCAGGCTTCTTGTCTCTCGTGGTGGCGATGCTACCCTCCAATCTTCCCAATTTGAAAGGCGTGAGAGCTGGGGGTCTGGGAAGTAGGGCTGGGCCCTGAACGGTCTCCCAGCATGGGAGCACTGTTGTGTCTGAATGAGCTGTCCTTGATGCTCCCCTCTCCCCTAGGATTGTGTAAAACTGAACCAGTACAAGCTGCAGAGCGAGATTGGCAAGGTAGGACCTGGGCAGGATTGGGGAGGGGGGTTGCAGAGTGCTCTCTGAGCATCTTTCTTTCCCTCTGATGGGACTGGGGAGCAGAGCCAAGAACACCCCAGCCCGATTGGGAGATCATCCGAGGAGGGTGGAGATAACTTTGGATTCCTGACTCCCAGGGTTTTTTTTGTTTTTTTTTTTTAAGATTTATTTATTTATTATGTATAGAGTGTTCTGTCTGCATATACACCTGCAGGCCAGAAGAGGGCTCCAGATCTCATTATGGATGGTTGTGAGCCACCATGTGGTTGCTGGGAATTGAACTCGGGACCTCTGGAAGAGCAGCCAGTGCTCTTAACATCTGAGCCATCTCTCCAGCCCCCAACTCCCAGGGTTCTTGATGGAGATTAAAGGAAAGAAGAGGCTCATGGAGTTGTGAGGCAGGGCGGTTCCTAGGGCACAGGAGTCCCTTCCTCATCTCTGAAATGTGAATGAACCCAAGAACCAGGTGGCAGGAGATAGGGTGGGGTTGGGGTACAAAGGCCAGGGCCAGAGCTGTCAGGCCTGCCATTTCCTGAGCTAGACCCAGAGTGAAGGTGGTGGTGTTTGGTAGGACTGACCAATGGCTGTCTGCAGGGTGCCTACGGTGTGGTGAGGCTGGCCTACAACGAAAGTGAAGACAGACACTATGTGAGTCTGGGGTTGGGAAGGGGTGTTGCCCAGGTAGGCTCCAGAAGCCTGGGTAGTAGGCAGAAGTGCTGGGGGAAGGGGTTAGGGCTACCTCTTATTGGGGAGGTTCCTATTCCTGGGGTGTGCTAAGGGATTGAGCTTGAATGTTCCTTTGGGATACACAAGCAGAGGCTGGCTTCCCCTGAAGGGAGAAGGGAGGGAAGGCCTAGACTCAGCTATGGCATAGCAGATACATACCTGGCCACATGCTTGGTGCCAGTGGCAGCTGCCAGTGTGCCCATCTGGACTGTAGTCCTCATGTAACCAGCCTTTCCTAGCCCCTGGTGGCTGCGCATGTGATATTTCTGTTCCTTTCTCCACAGGCAATGAAAGTTCTTTCCAAAAAGAAGTTACTGAAGCAGTATGGCTTTCCCCGTAAGTATGCCTTGTCTGTGGGAGCTGTAGGCTTGGGGCAGAGGGGGAGGGACCGGTCCCTAACTGCTTTTGCCTAGGAGTGGGGGTGGATGGTAGGAAACAGGAGCAATGGCCTGGGAATGGACTAGGCTTGGTGAGCTGGAATGAGATCTCAGCCTCGTGAGGGCCTTTCTCCTGGACCAGGGCCTTACCTTGTTTTTTGGTCAAAGGCCGTCCTCCTCCCAGAGGGTCTCAAGCTGCCCAGGGAGGGCCAGCCAAACAGCTGCTGCCCCTGGAGCGTGTGTACCAGGAGATTGCCATCCTAAAGAAGCTGGACCATGTGAACGTAGTGAAACTGATCGAGGTAGGGGGGATGGCGAGGGTACGGGAGCTTGGTGGGTGGGTGGGGCGGGTGCTCAGCCTTACCAGGGCCTAGGGAGCAGAAGTGGGTGAGGCACTGGGCACAGACCAGCCTTGGATGGGGCTGTGGAGGTATCAGAGGCAGTTCAGGCTGATCTGGGGTGTTCTTGCTGAGAGTGAGGGGCAGTCCTGTGAATCCCTTCTCCATCACGGGGAAAGAAGGACCCAGTGTTATATGGAAGGCCTTTCGAGGGAGTGGGGGTGGGGGTGGGGTGTCAGTGATACTGAGGCCCCTCTGTTGGTACCTGTACAGTTCCTGCTCTGTGTCCAGGGTGGCTGCAGGGCACAGTAGGGATCTTGGGTCAGGAAAGGACAGAAGGCCTGGGTTCCCCAACCCCATGCCTCCTCAAGCCCTGTGCCCATGTCTGCTCCTTCTGAACAGGTCCTGGATGACCCTGCTGAGGACAATCTCTATTTGGGTGAGTGCTCATTCTCACAGCAGCTTACCTAGGGCTGGTCCCAGTGAGGGCTCCCCAGGAACACATGGGATGTTCAGGTGGCCATGTACATGCTCTGACCTCCTGTACTCTGAAGTCCTGGACTCCGTTGTACAGCGCTGCAGAAAGAGAATTAGATTAATCAGATTCAGTGCCTATTCCTGGGCCCCACTCCCTGCCCCGAACCAGTCCCAGTCAGCGTGGTTCTGCACTCAGTAGATACAAGAAGCTGGCTGAGTCAGTGAGCTTGGGGACCCTGGCCCAGTTTTCCCACCTATAAAATGGGATAATAGGGTTGGGCGTGTAACTCAGTGGTAGAACACTTGCCCAGCATGCTTGGGGAACTGGGCTCAATACCCAGCCCTTCAAAATATGATATTCATAATAATAAAACGAGATAATGGTGGTATGTATCTTATAGGTTGATGTCAGGAAATGTGCACATTTGTAATTATCCTTATTAATATGAATGTTATTATTTAAGTTCCTTATCCTGATTGTTACTTTGGCTCTTTCTGGAGGAGGTTTGGAGAAATGGGATAGGAGGGCTGGAGGTGAAGCTCTAGAGATTGCCCAGCATGAGCAAGACTCTGTGTTTCCGTTCATCACAGAAAGGGAGTGGGGCCAGAGAGCTGGCTTCCACATCAAGAGGCAAGGCTTTAGTCAGGAGTGTTAACATGTCTGCCCCTTCTCATGAAGTCTCAGGTCCTCCCTGGGAAAGAGGTTCAGGCTGACAGTCCCATCTAGCACCCGAGGATCAGGTCAGGCAGGCCCACAGCGAGCCCACTCCGTCTGCCCTGTCCCCCTGCCCCTCTCCAGAACAGGGAGGGACCTTGGCACGGCCATCCTACAGCCTTCCAACACCTTTTCTTCTCTTCTTTTCTTTCAGTGTTTGACCTCCTGAGAAAGGGGTGAGTTCCCCGTCCCAGTCAGGCAGGTCATTTCTAATCCAGGTCTCCCTATCCTCCCCTTTGTCTCCCTGCCCAGGGGCCAGCTAGTGTAAGAGAAAGCAGAGCTGTGCACCTGCCCTCGGGAACTCTTGCCTCAGGGGCAAATAAGAGGTCTGGGACCATTCTGTGAAGGCTTGCGGGCATTGTGGAGGCTGGGGAATTAGGCTGGGAGAGGGATGGGCCTTGAGCCAGACCTTGAAAAACCAGGAAGGTATTTGGATGGGGGGGGAGGGGGAGGAAGGAATGTTTCCAGGCAAAAGTGTACATACGGGATACAATTCATACTTGTATTTAAGTCACCAAGGGGTCTTTGAGCTACTACAACTCATGATTATGGGAGGGAAATGCCTGAGAATCAGAGAAGGCAAATGGCCTGCCCGAGGTCACACAGCAAGTTGTTGATGAAGCCTGGTGTTCTGACACTGCCTGTTTGATCTATCAGACCATTTGCAGAACAACTGACATAGACTAGTGGGCATAGGACGCGACCCCCTCACTGCCAATCCTGGAATGAAGGCTGTGAACTATCTCTTTGCTAGTGCTTTCCTGAAAGACTATTAAAACAAAAACAAAATCAAAACAAAAAAACCCACTTGCATTCAAATCAAGCAGTAGGGACTGAGTCTGTACCTGAGCTGGTAGAGTACCTAGGATGCACCAAGCCAGGGTCCAGTCCCTGACACTGCATAAAGCCACGGGTGGCAGCTAACATCTGCAGTCAGGAGCTGGAGGCAGGAGGATCAGAAGTTCAAGGTCATCCTTAGCTACATAGTGAATTCCAGGCCAGCCTGGGCTACGTGAGACCCTGTTTCAAAACAAGTGTATGTTTATTTTTATTTTATTTATTTTTTTGGTGACAGGATCTCACTATTTAGACTTGACTGAACTTGAATTCATGGATGATCCTCCTTTATCTGCCTCTGAAGTGCTGGGATTACAGGCACTTGCCATAACACCAGGCTGTTTTTTGTTGTTTTGTTTTGAGACAGGGTTTCACCATGTAGCTCTGGCTGCCTAGAACTTGCTCTGTAGACCAGGCTGGCCTCCAGGTCACAGAGATACTCCTTCCTCTGCCACCTGAATGCTGGGGTTAAAGGTGTGCGCCACCACACTAGGTTTAAAAAGTAAAAGTTTGTATTGCCCATGTCTGTGATTGATAATCTGGAACAGTATGTATATCTTTTTCACATGCTATACATTCTGAAACAGTCTATTTCAATAGAAAAAGAAAAGCAGACCCACCTGATTGATTTCATGATTCATGGGTCTGGGTCCACAATTTTAAAGCCATTGAGTTAAATGGCATCTTTGTAATTATTTGGCTAAACTTAATTCTTGCAAGAACTACAAGCCAGTGGAAATAGAGATAAAGCTGCCTTGAAAACATGATTGAAAGGGGATAGACAGGTTACATCTTTGGGGCATATGGGAGAAGCTAGTGTCTTGAGTTCTCTGAACCCACGAGCACCAGGTTCCCTGGAGGGCTTCTGTTCCCCGTTCCTGCGGCAATCTCTATTTCAGATTCTGCTGAACAGCCTTCCTCTCTCTTTCCCCACAGGCCGGTCATGGAAGTGCCCTGCGACAAGCCCTTTCCTGAGGAGCAAGCTCGTCTTTACTTGAGGGACATCATCCTGGGCCTCGAGTACTGTGAGTGAGACAGCCTGTCCCCTGGGACTGGAGCTAGAGGACACAGGAGCGGGCTGTGCCCACGCTAAACAGCCATTGAGGCCTTCCTGTCAGTCAGCGCTGGTCTACCAATCCGCTTTAGTGGGGATTGGGGGCGGGGAGGTGTGGGCGGGGCCATAGCTCACTTCACTAGGCATGCGCTAGGTCCTTCCCCGTCCATTGCGTTCACCACTGTGTTGTCTCCGGGTGTTCTGTCCCCATCTTTTCTGCTGGATTCTAGCCAAGCTTCCCCTCACCGCAGGGCTTCAGGAGATGTGGGCTGGAAGAGATTTGTGTCCAGCTGCTTAGGGAAGAGTGCGTCCTGGAGTGATGCCTGTGGTGATGGTAGGGTGGGTTTAGCTGTGAGGAGACCTCAGGTGAGAGCTCAGGCGCGCTTAGCTTCTGTGCCAGAAGTGCATTCGTTTATTTCACTCATTCACTTCACTCACTTATGGACACCTACTTGAGCCGCACAGATGATGGTCTAGGACCAAGGGAGCTCTGCCCAGGAGTGGCAGGTGGGAAGTGCTGTGGAGGCTCTCTGAAAGAGGCCACATGAGATCAGGTCCTGAAGGAAGAAGAGTAGGATTTCCCCAGCCAGCTTTGAGGGTTGGTGGTGGGAGAGCCAGTCAGGCAGAGGCAGGAGAGGAATGGGGCTGTACTGTTTGAAGATTGGCACTCAGTCTGGGTGGTGCATCTCAGAGGCAGGGCCTGATGGCCAATGAACAATGGTACTGGAACTCTCCTCGGGCCCCACGGTGAAGGCTGGAAACGTCTCTGAGAAAGACTTTCTGACTAAATCCTGTCCATATTGTGAGGCCCTGAGGGCTCTAACTAAGCAGGGGAAGGCCTGACAGGATTTGCTTCTTAGAAAGCTCTGTCTGGCAGCTGTGTGGTGGCTGGATAGGGTGTGAGAGGCAGCCAGCTGGCCAGGGGCAGGCTATTTCCACAGCTCAAGTGACAGATGGTGAGGTCAGGATTAGGGCAGGAGCATTGGGATGTGAAGGAGGTGGGGTGGCCGGCCTGGGGTGCCTGACTGGTCTAGGAAGAGGAGGGCCCTCAGAAAAATAGGGTTCTAGGCTGAGTTGGGGGATGGGGGTGCTGCCCATCTCTCTAACGTCTTAGCTGGACTTGTGAGCAAATTCTCCCTCCCTGGGTGAAGTGTGACCTACAGTGACATGGGCATCTTTATACTGCCGAGCCTCTCTAGTGTCTTCAGATTAATGCTCTCTTTGTATGTGTAGGGAAACTGAGGCACACAGAGGCAAATGTTAATACATAGACTCCAGCAAGGGTCTATAGTATAGGAGGGATGGGTACATTTTATCCTTGGTCTGTTGGTCTAGTCAGCTGCAGGAACAGCTCTTCCGGAGCTTAGCTCCACCTCTTTCCTTTTCTGGGTCCTTCTCCTCTGCTGAGGGCCTGTCTGCCATCTCCTAACTCCACTTCAGAAGCTTGCTAATCTAGGGTTGGTTCTAGGTAATAGCTTCCTCAGGGCTCAGCTGATGCTAATGAAGGGCGTCTCTGGGGTATGTGTTAGCACCAGGGACTGGAGAGGTGAAAGAAGAGCCCCAAAGACTTGTAATTCTGGTCTTGTGGAGGGACAGTTGGAGCTGGTCAGAAAGGCCCGGATGATGGAAGCAGGTACATTAAGATAGACACTGAGATGTAACACACACACACACACACACACACACACACACACACACACACACACACTCGAGTACATTTTTCTTAACTTAGGTGTCACTGTGTAGCCCAGGCTGGCCTCCAACTCCTTATCTACTGCAGTTTTTTAAGTACCTCAGATTATGGTGGATGACTGTGTACCACTCTACCCAGCTTGGATTATTTTCACCTTGGCCTGTCATGGCTACGTGCTCTAAGGCGGAGAGGAGGAGCTGAGGTCTTTAGGATTAGGAAACAATAGAGGAAGAACTTGGAGTTTCTTTTTTCCTTTCCTTTCCTTTTCTTGCTATGTAGCCCAGGCTGGTCTAGAATTTGCAATCCTCCTGTCTCAGCTGGATTATAGGCATGTGTCACTCTACCTGGCTAGAACAGAAGTTTTCTGTTTTGCTGGTGATGGGGATAGTAGACAGACATCAAGTTCTGATACTGAGATGCATATTGATATTGTTATCTGTTGGACATTCACGCGCAATACAGAGCCTGAGTTCCCTCTGACTTCCCTCCTCAGCAGGAAGTGTGTTGTTTGTTGTGGAAGTCCAAAGACTCCCAAGATTCCCCTCCATGTCCTCACTTGCATAGTGGAACAGTGAGGGTCTCATCTTCTGAGGTTCTCTCCTAACAAGAATGGACGTGGACTGGGATGCAACTGCTTGCTTCCTAGGCTGGGTGAAGGCAGGAGAGGGGCTCTGGGCAGCGATCCCCAAGGCTTGCATTACCACCTGCTTCTCTTCTGCAGTGCACTGCCAGAAGATCGTCCACAGGGACATCAAGCCATCCAATCTACTCCTTGGGGACGATGGCCATGTGAAGATCGCCGACTTTGGGGTCAGCAACCAGTTCGAGGGGAATGATGCTCAGTTGTCTAGCACGGCAGGGACCCCGGCATTCATGGCCCCTGAGGCCATTTCTGATTCTGGCCAGAGCTTCAGTGGGAAGGTGACTCTCAGGGCCTGGGCTAGGTTGGGGGTTCAGGTAGAGGGGCAGAACAGCTTGCCGTGGGGGGCCACTTTGCAAGCTGAAGGTTCTAGGCTTCTTGCATTTGGATAGTGGCATACTTGCCTCTTCCCTGGAGCCCAACACATACTCCAGCTGTGGCTCCTCTCATTTCCTAGCAAATGGTTACAGTCTCACTTGTATTTGTTACTGCTGTTTGTCTGTGTGGGGCTCTGTACTGGACTGTGGGCCAGGCAGAACCAAAATAGCCCCAGTCATATCCTTCTGCACGGTGATGAGGGCTTAGAGTCATGGCCCAAGGAAGGTAGAGGCCTTCTCAGGTCTAGACTGGGCCCTGGAAAAAGAGAATTTGAGATGGAGGCAGAAGATTGAAAGGCATAGGGCTGGGTGGAGTTTAGACTCTCACGTGGCCAAAGGTAGTTATGAATGCAGCCCAACACCAAAATGTAAGCTTGCTGACGACAGAACGGGGTGGAGAGTGTGGTTTTCTTTGGTTACGTGGGGTTCTAGTGTCATCATTATAGATGGGCTGCAATGTCAGCCATGCCTGTGCCTGGTTTATAGGCTTGGAATTTCTTATTTGGATTGGACATATAGTTCAGTGGTAGAACATTTGCCATGTGTGTGTGTGTGTGTGTGTGTGTGTGTGTGTGTGTGTGTGTGCGCGCGCGCTGGGGTTTATTTCCCAACTCTAAAACAAAAAACAAAAAAGGATTTTTATTTTTGCTATAATTCTAAATTCACTGGAAAGTTAGAGCCTAAAGGCATACCGTGTAACTTGTAAGATCAGGAATGTTGTGAGTGTTTGGCTTGCATGTCAGTGCACCGAGTGTGTGCCTGGTGCCCACAAACGGAAAGGGCGTTGAGTCTCCCAGAAATGGAGTGATAGAAAGCTGCGAACCACCATGTGGGTGCTGGGACCTGAACTCACATCCTCTGGAAGAGCATCCAGTGCTCTCAACCACTGAGCCATCTCTCCATTCCCCCATGTAACTTTTTACCCAGATTCATCCGCTCTGTCACATAAGCTTATTCATTGTCTTTATGTTCCTGCATATTTCTATTGCACTTTTCTGAGCCACTTAGAAATTCACTTTGAGACAGTATGCCTGTTTATCACTATGTACTTCAGTGGCTTTCCTAAGAGGGTGGACATTCCCTTAAATAATCTCGGTACAGTGACCAAGGTCAGGAGTCTATCTGTAATGAGATTGTTCTGCAACAGATTGCACACATCTAAATTATTATGAAATGGTGTTGAAATGTTGTCGGCTTGCCTGGTGTTTTGTTTGTTTGTTTTCCTAATCCTGGAGGAGATCATCAGGCTCACTGTCCCATCTCCTTAGAGTTCTCTGATCTGGAGTAGTCTCCCCGCCTTTTCTGGGGTGAGGGGTGGGAACAGGACTCATACATCCCATGCTGCCCTAGAATTTGCTGAGAATGACCTTGAACCAGCGATTCTCCAGCAGCTACCCGCCAAGTGCTGGTTTACAGACATGTCCTCTGTCCTCCCCGCCCTCTAGCTTCTTGGCCTCTCTCTGTCATTCTGATCTTGATGTTTTGAAAAGCAGCCTGATGTCTAGTGTTCCCTGGTTGGATTCTAATGATGATGGTGATGATGATGATGATGATGATGATGATGATGATGATGATGGTTGTCTGTGTCAGGGGCTACACACATGAGGAGCCTATGGGGAGCCCTACCTGGGCCTGAGGGGAGTTGTAGGTGGACGTGGGGATAGGGTGGGCAGGGGTTGCTCTCTGGCATTGGAAGCAGTTGCGCAGTAGCTGAAGTGAGAACCTCTTGAAACCAGAGCTAGTTATTGAGCATTAGTTCAATCCATACTGCTATTTTGGGAGTACATCTGTGTCATGGAGGCAGCAGATGACCCCATGGATGAAATGTGGCTTGGAACCTGCTGAGTTAGAAACAGTGTCTCTTTTGGGCTTGTCTCTAGAAAGTCCACAATCCCAGGAGTGTTGCTGTTCTGTTCTGGTCATCCTTGTGATCTCCTGGTGCTCAGCACAGGGCCCAGCATAGAGCAAGCCCCAGGAGTGTTTGTTGATAAATGCCTGCCTAGGGAAGGAGGATCCCCACGGGGCTCTTCCATAGCCTGGTAAAGCTGGGTGGGGATGAGTTGGTGGAGGTGCTGGCCATGTTTACTGACATGAACTCGTTTCTCTCTAGGCCTTGGATGTATGGGCCACTGGGGTCACCTTGTATTGCTTTATCTATGGGAAGGTGAGTCCTGAGTTCAACTCTGACTGGATTCAGGGAGCCAGGAGTGGATGGCAGATGCAGGACCTTCTTTTGTGTCCTTAGACAAAATGGCTTTGGAAAAAGCCCACCTGGGCCAGGAAGATTGAGGGAAGAGAGGCCTTTTGTTGGTCTTTCTCCCCTTTGGGAGGGATTGAGTGGAGTCCTGGGACAGCACACATCCAAGAGGAGGTGACAGAGGTGTTTCCTCCTCCCTCCAGCCAGAGTGAGCCCTGTCCTCCTCTCTCTCGATGCCATTCATTCCTTCATCCACTCAATCATTTATTCAAATGGTTGGGTCTTGGGGACCTCTAACACTGATATGACCAAGATTCCTGCCCTTGGGTGCTTTGGCTCTGGTGGCCACACTTAACAAGGCAGAGGGGACCTCAGTGAACAGGTCCCCAAACGCCAGACCCTGGGAGAGCGAAGGTTTGGCTGCAGGCAGTTTTACTGCAGGTGGCAGATGCAGCCAGCCTCGGTCTCCAGTGACTCATCTGCTCAGTTACATTCGCTGAGCCCTTGCTGTGTGCCCTGAACAAGTTAGGTGGGGCCCTTCCCATCTGCTGTTGGGGGAAGGGCATACGCAGCCTCCCACCCCTGCCCCCTGCAGTGCGGATCAAGGCCTACATCCTGTCTGTCTCCCCTTCCCACAGTGCCCATTCATTGACGAGTACATCCTGGCCCTTCACAGGAAGATCAAGAATGAGGCCGTGGTGTTCCCTGAGGAGTGAGTTGTCCACAGCAGGGGACCATGGAAGCTCCCGCCCACTCCTGGGGAGGGTATCTGAAAGTCAGCAGAGCGCTCACCCTGTCAGGGTTCCATTTTACCCTTCAGAGTTAGGGTGGGGGTATTGATACCTGGGAGGGGCCAGGGCAGATGGAGAGCCTCCTGTCCTTGCATTCGAGGAATGTGGTTAGGGTTATTCCTGGTCCCGAGGAGGGGAGGAGGAAGGGGTCCTCATCAGCCGTGGTATCCTCATCCCGTGCCTTCCCTCCGCTAGGCCAGAGGTCAGTGAGGAGCTCAAGGACCTGATCCTGAAGATGCTAGACAAGAACCCTGAAACAAGAATTGGGGTGTCAGATATCAAGGTGGGTCTGGACCAAGGTCTCTGTCCCTTCCTGAAGGAACCTATACTGGCACGTGTGTGTGGGGTTGGGGTTTGGGGTTTGAGGGTTGAGGAGTCTTTCAAGGTCAATGCTAGGGATACCTGGGCACCTTTGCTGGTTGCTGTTTATATGCCTATGGCCCTGACCCCTCCTCATCTCCTGGGCTCTGCAGTTACACCCTTGGGTGACTAAGCATGGACAGGAGCCTCTCCCTTCAGAGGAGGAGCACTGTAGTGTGGTGGAGGTGACTGAGGAGGAGGTGAAGAACTCAGTCAAGCTCATCCCCAGCTGGACCACTGTGGTAAGAGGGCGAGGGGTGGGGCTCTCTTGTCTTAGAAGTGTGTGGCTACTCCCTGGGGCTTGCTCTGCTCTTGCCTTTGAGGGAACAGTGGGGAATCAAGTCTGTCAGCCACAGCACAGGGGCTGTGGAGGCCCTGCTCTATTGGAGTCTAATGGAGCAATTAGACTTAGTTGTGGCAGAGACCTGAGGCTTGGTGAGGCCCAAGGCAGGAGGAAGCAGTTCCTTGCATGCATGCTTTCATTGACCTGCTGCCCTTCCCAAGATACCACACTGGTGTCTAGGTGTGACAGTGAAAGACCCGGAGACTTGGTTCAAGGCTCCCACCTGTCGGTTAGACCACACCCTACCCCCAGAAGCCTCCTGCTTGCCTAGGCCGGGACTGGGTGTCCAGGCCTGTTTTCCATACTGACCTGTGCTCCCCAGATCCTGGTCAAATCCATGCTGAGAAAGCGTTCCTTTGGGAACCCATTTGAGCCCCAAGCACGCAGGGAAGAAAGATCCATGTCTGCACCTGGAAACTTACTGATGTAAGTACAGTAGGCTGAGGCCTGTGGGCTGCTCCCTGGGCTGAGGTGTGGCACCAAGGCACATCCCTGACTTGTACTAGTGTGGGGGCTGTTCCTAGAGCCTGGGGATATATCCGAGTTTCAGAGCAGGGCCTCATTTGCACCCCTGGCCAGGCCCAGTGTCCTTCACGCACACACTGAAGGGTAGATCATCTTTTGGAAGCCTGCTGTGGTCATGTTCTCCTACTGGGTCCAGCACAGCTCTCTGGCTTCCAACCTGTGCTTCCTTTTGCCTTTGGTAGTCAAAAGTCTGCAGACAGATCAGGTCAGCTCCTTACCGAAGGTTGGTGTCTGTGGGGAAATGGCCACTCTGTCCACTTTCCTTGGCCCCAGGCTGGCTGTTTGACACTCTTCTGAGTGACTCATGTCATCCCCAGCCAGCACTTTGTGAGTGTTTGTCCAGCGAGTTCATGTGGACAGGCTAGCTGACCCCTGTGTGCTAAGGGGTCCCTGCTTTGAACCATATGCATGGTTTCAGCACTTTGTGGAAGAGGCCAGAAAAGCAGTTCTCTGAACGTTGAGTCTGGCTTCCAATTTTTCTGCTGTAGTAAAATTCACCTGCCAATTAGAGTTTGTGCACAGACCTTCAGAGAGTACTACTTTCAGGACCAGAACATCCTGGTTCTAGGGCAGTTGGGCACCTCTCCGGGCTGTGAAGGGAGCTCCAGGGAGAAGGACTGTACTTCTGGCTTGCCCTGTGCTGAAGGTACTTTCCCAGGGAGGTGACTATGAACATTGTGCAGGTGCCCTTCCAAGGAGTGGCCGCACAGTGAGAGGTAGACCTGGGAAAGCACTGATATCTGCAAGTTTCCTGATTCTTCTTGAGGTAGTTGATATCAGTTCCCTGATGCTGGAGTTGCGCCTGGTACATCATATAGACTTTGACAAACTGGAACAGATCTGAGCGTGAAAAGGAGTCTGTTAATGATTATGTAGGGACAGCTGAATCACAATTGTGCGGTAAACTGAACATCAGGCCACGCCAGCTCAGTGCTTGTAGCTTGGTGCCCCCTGGTGGTAGAATGAAGCAGCCACCGGTTAAGCCACCGGGTCTAACTTCCAATTTGTTCCCTGGAACTGCACAACAAAAACAAGGATAAAGTACGTTTTAACCTCATCAAGGACCTTGGGGTTCTCGGTAGACCCCATTTTTTTACATTTTTGTGGTATTTTTAGTCCAGTTCCGTGAGGTTTATCCTTTGATTGGATATTTTTAAAAGTGAAGGTTGGGAGTGGGGATGCATGATCAGGTTCAGGAATCCGTTGAAGAATGGAATTCCAAGACTGATGGTAACTCTGCCCTGTGTCAAGGCAAAGAAAACACAGACTGAAAGGCCTTGTACCCACTGGGGGCCAGTCAAGGTTAATGTGGAAGACCTTTGACCCTTTGACCTGGCTGGTACTTCTGGGATAGCAGGAGGTCATCTGGGTCGGATCCCTAGAGGTTCCTGAGAGGTTTAGATTTCATCTCAGTGGGGAGCCACACAAGAGTTGTAGGTTGAGGCTTGGGGCCTGGGGAACTAGCAGAAAGACTGCCATGATGGAAGAGATCCTAGGGAGGCCTAGTGTGGAGTTGGGGCGTGAAAGGCTGTAGAATAGCTATCCCTGTGTGGATGTGGGTGAGAGTCCTGGCATACACCTTCTGCCTCCTGAGGTCCCTCTGCCCCTCGTGTCTTCTAACAGGAAAGAAGGGTGTGGAGAAGGGGGCAAAAGCCCGGAGCTTCCCGGAGTCCAGGAAGATGAGGCTGCATCCTGAGTCCCTGCATGTGCCCAGGGCCATCGGCAGCATGCTCATTCCTTGCCTCCAGAGGCCCACCGCCCTCATGCAATAGTCGCCCGTGCGGGCAGGGGGCTGGGGACTGCGGCCTCTCCCCCGGCCCTCCTCCCCCATTGTGCTGCATGACCTGCGCACAGGCACATCCATGGACAAGTTTGGAATGTGTATCATTTGGGGCTTGGGGTTCCTGGTTCTCTCTGTTCTGATCCATCTTGTGGGGAAGCCTGGGGCCCACAGACTATTAGAAACCGTACCTGACTGGCTGGTGAGGCCCAGGGCAGAAGGGCAAGAGACCAAAATGGCAGATGGAAGCCTGGTGGGCTCCATCTCAGAGAACTCCCGTAGGGCTCGGTGGGCCTTCCCAGCTGCCACACCACAAGGAAGGATGATTACCTCACCTGTGTGTGGAAGGTGCTGAGCGCTAGGCTACTCAGATCTCTGGCGTGGATGCTACAAATAATGATGTGTGCCCGGGAGAGGACTGGTGTTGGAGAACTCAGATTCCTCTTTTGTTGTCTTTTACCTGAAGGCTGGGGTGGGAGCAGCTGTTGTGGGGAACACCTTCCTCCAGCTTTGGGTAGTTCCTGGCACATTGTTTGGCAGTCCCGTGGACCTGACATTCATGGACTGTGTTTTATACTCGGCACTAGCCGGAAAAAGGGCTGAACTGAATCCAGCTCAGAGCATAGGCCTGAGCCAGGAGCAGCGCACCTTCCCTGCCTACCTCCCTTCTTCCCATATGGATCTCCAGAGCCAAGGTTGCAGAAGAGACACCGAGAGTGACACTGAGGGCTATGAACACTCGGAACTGTGGCCCTGCAGATGTGGAAGTAACTGGGATCCGGTCACTGACCCTACACTGGCTTACCCATCTCATGCCTAGGATAAAGAATGAACTGCCTAGGTGGGAGACTCAGACAGATGAGGGACCTCACAGGATGCATACCCTGCAGGCAGGTGGCCCTTCTGCCAGTTGCTTCAGCACAGGACATCAGTCAGCCCTGCTGCACACTTGGGGCACACATGTGGACAATGCCTTCTGGAGCGAGCGTCAGCTCTCTGGATTCTGTGGTCGTCTGGCTGGTCTAATGTTTACTGACAATGCTCATAGAGATTGGTCCCCAAAGGGAGATGACCAGGACTCAGGTACACCCCCCTGCCCCCGCAAAAACATCCCACAAGATCTTAGCTGCCCACATGGGTTTCAGAATGCAGGAGGGCTAGACTAGAAAAGAGGGAGGTTTGGTGGGAGCACTGAGTTCCAATGCATCTCTGTGCCAATGGGTGTACATTGCGCCTCCATGTGCACTTGTTTGTGCGTGCCCATCTGCTGTACACAGCACACTTGCATGTCTCGTCCTGGCACATGCATCTGTAATATAGTTTCTACATCTACGTAAGCCTAGGAGCAGAGGGTAGCCCACTGTCGGTGGGCTCCCATTTCAACCCAGCTCCTCTGCACTAAGGCAGCCAGTGTAACCCAGGTCTTAAAAACAAATCATCTAAATCTATCTCTAAGAATACTTTTATAGAGTGAATGAGAGCCGGCAGCCGTTAAATAGCAAGGAGTCAGGGAGCTTTGTGAACGGGACCCACTTGGGAAAAGCTTGGAGTTGGGTGGCTGGCCTCGCTGTCCCCAGCAGAGCCAGAAAGGAATGCTCACTGTCATCTGTTGCTGAGAGTTTTGTTTGGCATTGGTTCTGAATGTAGCACAAGTGAACAAACTCCATAAGAGTGTTTTAAAAATCAACTTCTTAGGAAGTGAATTAAAAACAATAAAAAACCCATTGTTAAGTTTAAAAAAAAAAAGAAAAGAAAAGAAAGAAAGGCTTTGTAAATCTTCTGTGTCCAGATGTGTGTTTCTCTTGTCCCAGCTGACTTGGCTTGATCTTCTGGAAGGCTCTGAGGCACTGTAGGCCGCTGAGCGGCATGGCAGGGTAGGGAGAGGTAGGGAGAGGAGAGGTGGGAGGAAGAAGGAGGTGGAGGAAAGGTGGGCTCACGAGGCCAAGGAGTTCCTGCCCTCCGTGCAGCTTAAGCCCCAGGGCCCCTACTTGGAAAGAATTGGGTGCTTGAGAACCAGTGGGGTGGCCATAGGATACACTTCCTGTCTCGTAGGGGTACAGGAAGGCTAAGCTGGGAAGCCGGCCTGCCCAGTGTCTTACCCATGCCTTATCAGACTCAGCACCAGTACTCTAGCCATAGGGTCCTCCAGGGTAGTGATGTCAAGTGTCATTCTTGAGGTCAGACAGCCCTGAGCTTGAACACAAATTTGGCTACCTAACTGTCTAAGGGTTTCTGTTGTGAAGAGACACCATGACCATAACAACTCATAAAGGAAAACATTTAATTGAGGTGGCAGCTTATAGTTTCAGAGGTTTAGTCCATTATCATCATGGTGTGGGGAGCATGGCAGCATGTGGGCAGACATGGTGCTGGAGAAGGAGCTGCTGCATGTTGATATGCAGGTAACAGGAAGTAGACTGAGTATCACACTGAGTGAAGCTTGAGCAAAAGAGACCTCAAAGCCCGCCCCCATAGTGACACACTTCCTCCAACAAGGCCACACCCACTTCAACAAGGCCACATCTCCTAATAGTGCCACTCCCTTTGGGGGCCATTTTTTTTTTCAAACTACCACACTATCTAATAACCCTGACACCTTTGGCAGGTCGTTAAAGGAGCTTTTGTTTCTTTATTGGTATAGTGAAAATAGTATCAGCACTTTTATGGAGTTTTTGTGACAGTGAATTCAGTCCTTGTTTCAAAAGCCTAGCTGGTAATAAATACTCGGTACATAAGCCCTTATGGGGAAACCTGGGGGTTATTGCTCAGCCGGCCTTATGTGCATGCTGTTTGCCCAGCTGTGAACTTGCAGCTGGATGAAGCCAGAGACTGATGAGTGCTGAAGACCAAGAAGATGGCCAAGCTGCCCCAAGTGGGTGATGAGTTTTTCCACCTGAGAAATGCAGACTCTTCGTATTCCTGGCTGCTTCCTAGTCCTGTGAGGGGCAGTAAGTACAAGGCCTTCTCCAGAGGGATGATGGTGGCCAGACAAGAGTTTGTCAAATACCACACCAAAAAATGGGTTTTGTTCCCATTCCCTTCCTATCCTTTCAGCCCTTACCTCTCACCTCACTGGTCTCCAGCCCTTAATCCTTGCTAGCTGCCTAGTAAGAATCCCACTTTGGTATCCAAGGCCTCCAAGGCTCTCTGGCTACTCTGCTGACTCGGGCTCTATCTGCCCCCCCCCACTTGATTCTCTTCCCTCCCCACTATGTTTCTATCTCTCCTATCCTTCCAGGATACTGCCCTTCCCATACCCCTACCTCTGCCTGTCAAAGTCCATTACACTCTTAAGCAAGGTCTATTGAGTCCTGAGAACTTGAAGAGCATCCTGGGTACTTGATGGGATTTTCCCATGGGTCTCATCCTTTGAGTGTGCACACTGGTGGGACAACTGAGGCCCAGAAAAGTGATTTAGGAAAGGGCCAGGTTAGAGCCTGCACCTCTTGCTCACTGAACCCTCACCCAGGCCTTGCCACACAAGCTCCCAGGAGAACTGTCAGCCCTACACATGCAAAGACGTCTGGGAGAGCCAGAGTCAGAAACTACTATACCACATAGGGGAACTGAGCCCCGGCAACAGTGGATCTGCTTAAAGGTGTGGGAGGCAGTTAAGTGTGCCTTGCAAGCTTTGAATCCTGCAGACCCTTCCCTGATCTCTGTTTCCTCTTTCACTCAGCCTACAAGGTGGCTCAGCTGGGAATGGGGGCTGGAAGTTACTGACCGGGTTCCAGCTTTACCAGGGGACACACACCCCAGGTTACAGGGTTACCTTCACTATAGACAGATGAGCACACTCCAAACAGCCTTCACATTCTCAAGTGAAAATAGACAATATTCCCTCTGGGGAGCCAGGTGGTAGGTGGTGCCGAGTCCTGGGTGCCTACTGAAGACGTGGTCAGTACAAGTAGCAGTCTGGCTGACTGGGCCTCTGAGGTGTCAGTACTACTTAGTTCCAGACTTAAATGGCCTTCCCTCCCTAACCTCCCCCTGTTCCCCCCACCACCACGTGAACCAGAGAAATTCATTTCTCCAGCTAATATGAGAACAGGTCAAAGCTTGGGTCTTCACTGTCCTAAAAGTCCGGTGTCCCATCTGTTCATCCCTCCCTGCTCCTTTCCACAACCAGGGACCAATTACTAGAAAGTCACATGGTTGGAATTACACAGAATGTAACTTTTCTCTGCCTCGGGTAGTTTTAATGAACAGTAGGATTTGACATGGGAAGGGGCGGGGCTCTCCTGTGTTCCAAGCTGACCTTAAACTTGCTGAGTAGCCAAGAATGGCCTTGATCCTTCCTGCCTCCACCTTTCGAGTGCTGGGATTACAGCCATGTGCTATCATGTCTAGTTTATTCTGTGCTGGGGATTGAACCAGGTTGCATGCTGGGTGAGAACTCAGTTAAAGCAGCTACACATAGCCCAAATCTTTGTTTTTATAATTGAAAGGCATATTTTTTAAAAACTTTTAGCAGTTATTTATTTTGCCTTTTTTTTTCTATAGATCAGGATAATCCTAAAACCAATCATCCTGCTCCAGCCTCCTGAATGCTAAGATTATAGGTGTGAGCTACCATGCTCAGCTCTGACTGTGTGGGCATGTGCTTGTATTTAAGTATGTATGTATGTATGTGTTCATGTGGGTGTGTGGAGGCTAGAAATTAATGTTGGGCCTCTTCCTTGATTATTCAACACTTTTTTTTCTAAAGTTTTCTATTTTTTTCTTTTCTTTTCTTTTTTTTTTTTTTTTTTTTTTTTTTTGGTGTTTTGAGACAGGGTTTCTCTGTGTAACAGAGAACTCACTATGTAGACCAGACTGGCCTTGAACTCAGAGATCTGCCTGCGTCTGCTTCTTGACTGCTGAGATTAAAGCTGTGTGCCACCATGCCCAACTTCTAAAGATTTTTTTAAAATTTGTTTTAAAAGTATGTGTGTGTGTGGGGGGGTTTGTTACCTGAGTACAGTGTACTCAGAGGTCAGGAGAGGATGTCACATCTTCTGGAGCTGCAGTTGTAAATGATTGTAAGCAAGCTGGATGTTTTTTGCCGGGCACTGCACTTGGGTCCTTCGCAAGAGCATTACGTACTCTTAACCACTGAGCCATCTCTCCATTTATTTTTTTAGACACTTGGGTCCTCTGTCAGGGCATCCTGCACTTTTAACCACTGAACTATCTTATCTTCACTTTAGTTTTTGAGACAGGATCTCTCAGTAACCTGGACTCCCAGACTGGCTAGCCTGGCTGGTCGGTGAGCTCAGGGATCTGCCTGTCTCTGCCTCTCCAGCGCTGGGGTTTTAGATGCTTACCACTTTGCCAGGCTTTTACAGGAGTGCTGAGGATTTAGAACCAGGTTCTGGAGGAACTTTACCCGTTGAGCTAACTCTCCAGCCCCATTAGCTGTAACTTTTTGAAAATTATTCTTTACCTAAATTTACCTCCTAAATTCTCTGTGGTTTCGCATCATCAGGCTGCACAGTGGACAGGGAGGCAGAAGAGGTGAGTTGGGTGGTCAAGAGGAGAAAGGGACAAGGCCGCCTGGGTAGCAGTCTGGAAGCTTAGTGTTGACTCCCTCGTGTCCCTCGATGGCTGTGGCTGCCCCACAGCTTCTTCGAACTGCAATACCAAATCTCTCTGAATTGAATCCTCAAGCTGCAAAACTCTTTTAGGAGGGAGATTAGGCCTGTGTTGCTGAGTAATTAACTGCTTCTGCCTCTCCTACCTCCTACTCTGTAGGCCCCGAGAGCTAGTATAATGGTGGGGTTCCTGACTGTCATGCACAGCTGGCCATCCCAAACATAAACATTTCTTTAAAATACACACTAGGGAGCCAGCCTAGGTGGCTATAATACCTGTAATCCCATCTCAGGAGGTGGAGGCAGGAGGATTAGAAGTTCAAGGTCATTCTATGCTGCAAAGTGAGTAGTAGGCCAGCCAGTGCTACAGGGCAAGATCCTGTCTCAAAACTGGGGATATAGCTCTCTGGTCAAGGGTTTTGTTAGGATGCTCAAGACTCTGGGTTCCATTGTCAGTACAGAGGGGAAAAAATGGAGAAAAGAAAATACATTCCATTCTGTCAATCCTGTAGGGTAAAAGGGCTAGCCAAAGAAACCCACCCTGACCCTGAAACCAGAGCCAGTGAAAGAAACCCACCCTGACCTTGAACTCAGAGCCAGTGAAAGAGACACTTTGGCCCTGAACCCGAACTAAAGAAACATACTCTGACCCTGAAACCAGAGCCAAAGAAACACACTTTGGCCTTGGAACCAGAGCCAGTGAAAGAAATACACCCTGGTCCTAAAACTAGAGCCAAAAGGTTGAAAAGGGTCAGTGAAAGAAACACACTTTGGCCCTGAAACCAGAGCCAAATCTGCCCCTGACCAACTGAGCACAAAACCAACCAATCCCTGAGACGAAACCAACCAGTCCCTGAGCACAAAATTCAGCCAATCTTTGAGCTTGTCCAAACTCAAGGATTGAAATCTGACCAAGTCCCACCCTGAAAAACTGCCTCCAAGAAGCCCTATGTAAGCCCTGTGCTTGTTCAGTTTGCTGCTGCCCTTTTCCACCCTGGCAGAGGCAGCCACCCTCCTCGATTCTTCCCTCCAGATAAATCTCTTGAATAAGATTTGGGTGACCACCTTCTTTCGCAGGAGCAGAGATCTAGCCTGAGCAGAGCAGAACACGGCTGTAACACTTTCTCTGGGGAAACATTCCCCTAGTGGAGCAGAATTGTTACACTCCACAGGACCAGAGCAGAACTGTAACAATTTTTCTGGGGAAACCCTCCCCTGCCCAGGCAGAGTTGTTACATTGAGGAAACCTTTCCCTGGAGCAGCACTGTCCTTTCAGTGACTTGTGGCATTCCTTGGCTCCCGACTATCAGGATCCCTTTCCATCTGAGCTGCAATGCTTACAAACCTAAATTTTGTACTTACTTTTGCATTACATTCAACCAAAGCTACCCTTCTAAGGAATTCCATCTTTGTCCCATGGTGTAGGCCCATTTTAAGAAAAAACTTGGATGTGCTACATCACTTCTGTTGGATCTCCCCCGCCTCCCCAGACAGGGTTTCTCTGTGTAGTTACCTGTCCTGGATCTCACTCTGTAGACCAGGCTGGACTCGAACTCACAAAGATCCACCTGGCTCTGCCTCCCAAGTGCTGGGATTAAAGGCGTGCGCCACCACCGCCTGGCTTTCTGTTGGATCTTATCACCCCATATAATAGCTCATTTAGCCCTTGCAGTCTTCTCTGGAGGTGTGTGTCTGATGAAGGAACTGTGACTTGAGGGTTAAGTAGTATGCCTAAGAACACCCCTGGTATGTCTTATCCTTGTGTTTTCTGTTTTAGAATTATTGGTCTGTGAATAGATTTTTAGGGGCTCAGATATAGTATGGTCTCACCTGTTCCTGAGTCAGATTGGGAGACAGGTCTAGAGCTAGCTAAAGGAGATACAGGAGAGACACAAAATCAGCACTCATGGCAGACAAGAGGTACCTTCTGGAAGTCTGAAGCCTTTCCTCTTTCCCAGCCAGACTCTTACTAGAAACATTTGCAAGAAGTCATTCTAATGCGTCTTTGATGGGTAGAGCCCCCAGAAGCAAGAAAACGGGGTCCAAGCTCTGGCTCTGCCCTTTGGGTAGGTCACTACCATCTTGGAGCACCCCCCCCCCCCCCAAGATAGGTCTGTAGCTTAGGCTGGCCTCAAGCTAGTTATGTATTGAAGGATAACCTTGAACTCCTAATCCTCCTGCCTCTATCTCCCAAGTGCTGGGAATACAATCATGTACCACCATGCCCAGCTTAAATTTAGGCAGGGTCTCACCTTGGAGCCCTGGAACTCACTATGTAGACTAGGATGGCCTGGAAATCACAGAGGTGTGCCTGCCTCTGACTCCTGAGTGCTGGGATTAAAGGCATATAATCCCATGCTGGGCCCCAGCTTAACTTTTTGACTACATAAAATGGCTCAGTTACTGGAAGACTTGACAGAGACAAGGTTTACCACGCAAATGACTTTGTAAACGTGCAGATTGCCAAGAGATGATACATTATAGTTCATTCTGGGCTCTGAAGCCTGATTGTCGAGGCTCAGATCCAGGTAATCATTTAAATAGCTTATACCTTGAGAAAACCATGCCCCAGTTTTCTATGTGAAATGAAGGTAATAATAAAATCTTATTCATAGAGTTGTAAGGGTTCAAGCCTTGGTAGTATTAGGCACATAGTAATCGCTCAGTAGCTTTTAGGAATATAGTCCTCAAAGTGTAGGTATTTTGGAACCTCAGACGACGCTCCACCTCCGGCTCTGTTTGGTCCCACCCCCCTCCCCGCGAAATCCCGCCCCAAGCCGGTCCCAGGCTCCCGGGCCACCAAGGGGGCGCCAGAGAGAAGGGCAGCTTTCTGGTCGAAATAGGCGACGCTCTGGCTGACAGCGGCTCTCCTCTGTGGTTGGCGGCGGCGGCGCTCTAGGCGGCGGGTTGTGAGGGGCGGGCTTTCTGTGGTGCGGCCGGCTGGCAGCTATGGCGGCCGTTCGCGGCCTGCGGGTGTCTGTGAAGGCAGAGGCCCCGGCTGGGCCCCCGGCTTTGGGTCTCCCGTCGCCCGAGGTGGAGTCCGGCTTGGAGCGTGGCGAGCCGGAGCCCATGGAGGTGGAGGAGGGCGAGTTGGAAATCGTGCCGGTGCGGCGCTCGCTAAAGGAACTGCTCCCGGTAGGGGCGAGGGGCGGGGGCTGAGGAGGAGGTCGCCGAGCGAGTGTCCCTTGCGAGGCGGAGAGGTGGCGGACCGCGGCACTCGCCGCCCAAGTCCGGGAACCCGGAGAGGGGCGCGAGCGCCGAAGGGAGGGGGCCGCGCTTGACCCGGAGAGAGCCGGAGCGAGAGAAAGGACACCCGGGCGCCCGGAAATGGGTGCAGAGACGGCTGGAGGAGGCGGGAGAGCTGGCAGAGAGTTGGGGACAGCCCTCTCTCTGCCCCTCGGGCCCGGCCGGGGGCCCGGAGCGAAGGAGCTGTGTCCGGCTGGAGATAAAAGGGAGCCGCGGGCGGGAACAGAACCTGGAGCAGCTCTGAAAGGAAGTGTTAGGTGGCGCTGGCATCCAGGTCTCCTGGCGGGTCCTGCCCCGGCGGAGTTCGTGTCTGTTACAAACAGGGCCATTCGCTCCTCGCTTGAGAAGGTTAGACCTGTCAAGCAGCAGACACTCGCGTGTTGGTGTTGTGGGTGAGGGTCGTCCTGTCCCCGCGCACCTTCGCTGCGTCCACTCGGTGGTCCCACCTTCTGACGCTCGATGACACTTGATCTGTCTTTTACCACAGTGGGTAATGAGATGAGGAGGAGTGTTTTGCTTGTGGTTTGGTAGTCCCATGCCCTATTCTTAAAGCTGGTCTGAGGCCTGGATAGCTCGATTTTTAACACACAACATGAACTCCCCCCCCCCCCCTTATTTACATGTGACGTTGTGAGTAAAGGCTTAGGTAGTGATGGCGAATAACAGTGACTTTGGTAACAGCATAATGGCAACTTTAGCATTTTCCACGTTATATCATCTAGATTTCACTGCGGTTGTGACTTAGGCGTTACCCATTCATTCAGTTTAACATATATGTATCGCACCCCCCCCACACACACACACAGTGTGCTAGACATAATCCTAGGTGTTTGATTAAGATCAAACTCCCTCTTTGAGTTTGCCCTAGTAGGGGACAGAAGTAAATAAATACTTTTCTTTTGTGTCAAGTACTATGAAGAAAACACACTCTGTTAATAGCATAGAAAATACCGTGCCCAGGAGGGATATGAAGCAGTCAGTGTGTGTCAGGATGTATAGGGAAGTTCCCTTATTTAGTCAGATTTAACCTTAACCCTACATGACAAGAAGAGGCAACCATGTCAGTTGGAAGGGAGCATTTCCTAATAGGGAGACAGCAAGCACAACGACTCTGAGATGGAAACAAGATTGTTTTGTTGGAGAAATGTTGGGATATATTAAGCTCAAAGGGGAGATCAGAAGTCAGAAAGACAGATAGCATAGAAGAAAGCAAGGCTCAGAGATGTCCAGGGTATTGAATTGCAGAGTTGAGACTTCAGTCCTCACTCAATCCGTTTCCCCTCCTTTTTTCATTGTATTGGGCTGTGTTTTTCCCAGAGATTTGGGACTTCATGTATTTTTGTGGAGACATTTGCTCCACCTAGTGGCCATGAGGGGAATTTGTCCAGTCTGGGTTGGGGAGCTAAGTGACTATCTCATTTTTGACGTTTTTCCACAAACGCCTTTAGATTTTCCTTTCTGTAGATACTCAGTTGACAGAATTACTTAATATTTTGTACAGGCTTCTGTCTGGGGTCTGAAAAAGACTTCTTGTTAGAATGGTCCATTGCTACTGTGGAATCTCAGAGATAGACTTCCTAATAACACAGGTGTTAGGGTGGAGAAGGGCTGCTGAAAAGAATGACTTCAAAAAGAGCGGGTTCTCAGACTGCCTTTAATCGTGGATTTTCCTCCCAGAATTTCCCATCTTTTCTCTTCTGTTAGGACACAAGCAGAAGATATGAAAACAAGGCTGGCAGCTTCATCACTGGAATCGATGTTACCTCCAAGGTAAGACAGACTGTGATTATTTGTTCAATTTGATAAGTAGGTGAAATTAATACTTGGTCCTTAGGACTTACAGATAATAAATATTCTTTGCCTCCTTCTTTCTTTTGTTACATATACACACACACACACACACACACACACACACACACATATATATATATATATATAAAATCATATTATCAAATATCTATATCTATCTACCCAAGGATGCCCTTGTATATTCCTGAAGACATCCAGGCAGCATTTGTATGTGCTTGTATCCATGAAAAGATAATCACTATACTTAGATGCCTGTGCTTAGCTATTTCCATGAAAGGAATGTTTATTTTAGTATTTATTTATTATTGTATATGATGTATCTGTGTCTGTGTGTAGGAGTGTGTCCATGCTATAGCACACAAGTGGAAGTTAGAGAACAGCCTCAGGTGTTGGTTTTCACCTCCCATCTTTTTTTTAGTAGTGGTAGTAGTAGTAGTAGTAGTATTTTTAGATTTATGTATATGAGTGGTTTGCTTGCATGTGTGTACGTGTGCTCCATGTAGACCTGGTGCCTGAGGAGGTCAGGAGAGGGCTTCAGATCCCCTAGAACTGGAGTTTCAGATAGTTGTAGCTGCCCTGTAGGTACTGGGAACTTAACCTGGATCTCTGCAAGAATAGCCAGTGCTTCAAACTGCTGAGCTGTCTCTCCATCCCCCTCCTACCTTCTCTCTCTCTCTCTCTCTCATTCTCTCTCTCTCTCTCTCTCTCTCTCTCACTCACACATACACACACACACACACACACACACACACACACACACTCACTCACTCACACTCTGGCTGTTAGCCATTGTACTGCATACGTTAGGCTAGTTGGCTTGCACGCTTCTGGGGGGATTCTACCATCTCTGCTTCCTATCTCCCACTCTGCTATAAGAGTGCTGGAATTACAGACATGTGCCACAATGTCTGGCTTTTGACATGGGTTCCAGGAATCCAGACTCAGGTCGACAGGCTTACATGGCAAGCACTTTTACCCACAGAGTCATGCCATGCCCCTGGCCTCAGGAATGTTTACTTGGATGTCACTCTTTAAAAATGTGTTTTGTTTCGAAAACATTAAAAGCACCCAACATGTAAATAAGCCCTTGGTACATGTCTATTCCTCACTGGTTGCCAATGTAGGAAAATAGGGTTTTCTAGTTGTGTGTGTGTGCTTAAGCTCTGAGGACCATGCTAACCGAATTATTTCCAGCATCTTGACAATATTGCCTTTTGCTAAGTGATTGCTGTTACCATTGTACCCCCTTCATTGTGATACCGTAGAGTGAAGCCTCTTATTTTCCATGTGATGAACAGTCAGTATATAGTATATTGCTTTAATTTAGTTCAGGCCTTTTTTTTTTTTCTTCCTCATTTAAATGTGTACAGTTCAGTTTGAAACAGAATTTTCAATTTCTATGTTTTGTCGTCGTCGTCGTCGTCGTCGTCGTCGTCGGTCCCGTCCCGTCCCCCCCCCCCCCCCCCCCCCCCCCCCCCCCCCGCCCCCAGTTTTTTGAAACAGGATTTCACTGTGTAGCCCTAGCTGTCCTGGAACTCTCTCTGTAGACCAGACTGGCCTTGAACTCACAGAGATCTGCCTGCTCTGCTTCTCAGAGTTCTGGGATTAAAGGTGTGTGCCAACTAGCTTCAATTACATTTTTTATTTTGTGTGTGTGTATATCAGTGTTTTGCCTACTATATTATGTGCATGCCTGGTACTTGTGGAGGTCAGAAGAAGGCATCAGGTCCCCTGGAACTGTATTTATAGACAGTTGTGAGCTATAACGTGGGTGCTGAGAACTGAACCCAGGTCCTCTGTAAGAGCCACTAATGCCCTTAACTACTGAGCCATCTTTCCAGGCCCAATTTAAAATTTAAAGAGTATATATCTATATGTTGGATGTTTAAAAACAAGAATAAAAATAAATATATCATACTTGGCTTTTTATAGTTTCTCTGTCTCAGTTTATTTCAGATTACTTAAAGGCTAAAAGAAAGCTGAGCACCTTCTAGTCCAGAAAATAGTACAGAGTGAAAATGTTCTCGTTGTAATTAAGAAGTAGACTGCTCCTAACCCTCCATCATTTTCTAGTACATGAACAGGTACCTGGGGAAAGGATTTTGTACTTGAATTGTTAGTAAAGGATTTGGCTGGGGAGACAGCTCAGCCCTTAAAGTGCTTGTTGTGTCAGCGTGAAGACCTGAGTTCAGATCCTCAGCCCCGCATAAAACCCACAGGGCAGTGTGTTTGCATCTATAATCGCAGCACTAAGGAAGACCTGCTCCCCCACCCGCAAATGCACACACGTTCCTCCTACATGCTGTAGTGCACGCATAACACAGACACAGACACACACACACACACACACACACACACACACACACACACAAACACACACACACTCGCTAAAAAAAGTAGATTGTCCTTTGTGCTAAGTAGACTTCGTGTAAAAATTAGCCTAACTATTAGGAAGTAACAGAAGCATTGCTGCATCCTCAGTGCCACAAGCTACTTCAGTCAGACCTTTAGTCTTCCAGTTAGTGAGGGGTTCTTGAGCCATCAGAGAAATCCATCAATCCAAAGCAGAACTGGACCTGAATTTATTTTTACTCTTGCAAGAAATCTACAAAGCTGAATGTTTTTTTCAGCAAAATGTCAATGCTCTTTGTTACTTAAAAATGAAAACAGGCAATTCCATGCACATAAGGCTGGAATAGAGGAGACTGTTTTTGCTCCTGTGTTATTTTTAAATGGGGGTGTGACTTTTAGGGAGTGGATCATTCAGGCAGACATAATGTGGAAGAGCATAATAGGTGTGATTACTCTGCCCACAGACAAAGTAAAGTGATAATGGTAGTTGTGGAGTCCCTAGAAATAGCACTGGATCAGATCTGTCCTTAGCTAGTAGAAATATTTCCTCCAAACCTTTTTCCATTTTTGTATCTCCATTTCTGCACTAGGAGAATTTGAGAAGTTGAGGTTATTTGTTGTAACTTCTTGGCATGATTGCTGATAACACATGAAGTATCAGAAAACTTTATAAACAAGTGTTCATTGAATTCCTACTATGTTCTGGGTGTAGTCATAGGCTATGATAGAATGGAGATGATTTTGGCAGGGCTACTGTAAGCTGTGCATGTCCAGTTCACTGTAAAACACATTCAAGGCACAGGTTGCTTATTTCTTCTGATTTATTTTAAGGTTGCAACATGCTGTTTGTGATTTAACATTCTTCATCTTCCTTTTATCTCTTTGACTTTTTTGTACTTCCTAGGAAGCAATTGAAAAGAAAGAACAGCGAGCCAAGCGCTTCCACTTTCGAGCAGAAGTAAATCTTGCCCAGAGAAATGTAGCCTTGGACCGAGACATGATGAAGAAAGGTACAGTGTGTTTGGGGAAATTTATTCATACTGTTCTAAGAGTAACTTTCCCTGCCATCACTTCATGTTTCTGGCTTTGTCCTGTATGTTCAGTCCTCATCCAAATACCCAAGAGGAAGGGATTCTGATATCACCGGTGTAAAGGTGAGATGCTGTCAGATGTTTCTCAGTTAGAGCTAGAACAATGGAACAAAGGAGGTTGTGAAGGGAGCTTGTGTCAGAGATGATATGTGCTGTAGACCTCCTCGTTGACTGCTTTCATCGTGGTGATGTAAGCCTCTTTGCCTTTAAGAATAGTGTAGCCGGGCGGTGGTGGCGGCGCACGCCTTTAATCCCAGCACTTGGGAGGCAGAGTCAGGCGGATCTTTGTGAGTTCAAGGCCAGCCTGGTCTACAGAGCAAGATCCAGGAAAGGTACAAAGCTACACAGAGAAACCCTGTCTCGAAAAACCAAAAAGAAAAAAAAAAAAAAAAAGAATAGTGGAAGTGTCCTACTGTGAAGCTTTCTTTTAGAGCAGTTGGAGCACTTTGGGAATTGGTGGGGATTTTTTTTTTTTTTAAATAATGTCAATACATGGTACATGCAGACCTCCTAGTAATTATTGTCAAAGAGGCCTAAACCAATTATAGTCTATTTTATTTAGGTATTTTGCTTCCTAGAACTCACAGCAAGGCAGTTGATAGTGGTGGGTTTTTGTTTGTGGTGATAGGTGTAACCCTGAGACTTGCTCAAGCTAACAAGTCAAGTCACCACAGCCGCAGCCCAATTACTCACTTTCTGTTTGCTTGCTTGAGACAACGTCTCATGTAGCCCAGACTGGTTTCAAACTGAAGATAATTTTGAACTCATGGTCTTTCTGCTTCTCCCTCCCAAGTTCTAGGATTACAGGGGTATACCATACTTGATAGCAAAGCAATTTATAAAAAAAGTGTTCCGGGGAGCATTTCCCTGGAGTGAGCCTACATTCTTTTTTTATTACCCTCTAATCTAAATCCATGAATACAAAAGGCCTCTCTCTGTTGTATTTGCCAATATTGGTACTTATAAAGGGCTTAGGAAGCAGCCTTCTTACTGCATGTTGAAGCTCTGTGGTGTTGTGTGAGTCCCTTTAGTCCTGCTTGGTTGATGAAAACAGTTCGTAAACCTGATGGATGAGGGAAAGAATGGCTACTGTTTGTTGGGAACATGTTTTCTTAGGGCAGTGGGTTAAGCATGTTATATATTTGTTTCTCACAGTAACTCTGAGGAATATATTTTTTATCATTATTTTACAAAAGAAGAAACAGGTTGTAAAAGTTTAATGTATTGCTCAGAGCTAAAGAAAGAACCAGGATTTCAACCTAGGTTTATCTGACTCTAAAGACTCATACCTTACGTTAAACAAAACAAAACAAAACACATTCTTTTAGTGTGTGTGTGTGTGTGTGTGTGTGTGTGTGTGTGTGTGTGTGTATACGTACACCACAGCCTCTGTGTGGAGGTCTGAGGATAACTTTAAGGAGATGGTTCTTTCCTACTTTGTGGCTCCTGGGAATCAAACTCAGGTGGTCAGACTTAGCTGCAAGTGTCTTTACCCTCTAAGCCATATCTCACCAGCCCTATGCTTAACATTTAACCTTACTTCTAACACTTTTGGTCTATTGGTATAATTTTATATATGTGAATATTTTAAATGTAATGTGTATATAATTCCATAGTCCTAGACCATGTCACTCTTTAGTCAGTCCTACTGGGACAGAGTAGTGTCTGTGCAGAACTGGTTACTCTTCTCCCTGAATTCTGAGTTCAAGTTGAGGATTGTGACCTTAGTTTTCTTGCAGACTCTGGGGTTCCAGACTTACGTGGATCTCAATATAAGGAAAAGTCCTATGAAGTCCAGAGATAGCTATATAGCTTCTCAGTCATGTGCTAGCACAATGTAGGCCTAGGAAGACCTTGGACTCTTCTCTCACAGCTCAGCTTTGAAAGCTCCATGTTTTACTGCACCTTTTGGCTTATAGTCCTAGCCACAGTTCATGCTTTTCTCTCTGCTCATTTGCCCTCTGTGAAGCATCCCTGATTTTGTGCTCAAAACTCCCTCTTCTGTTGGTGCTTTTAGGATCACAAACCCTCATGGAATCTAGTGCCAGTTCTTTTGTTACTAGGACAAGTTACTGAACCTTTTAAAGACTCATTTTTCTTATCCACAAAATGGGAATGCAATATCTATGTTATTAGTAGGATTGCTTTGGGGTTAAATTTTAGTCAAGAATATTTATCCTGCACATGGAAAAGCAATCAGAATCTTAAGTTTCTGCTTTTGTTTTAGGCAGAATCTCATATAGGCCAGGCTAGCCTTGAACTCTGATTCTCCTGCTTCTGACTCCCAAGTTCTGAGTTTATTGGTATGGGACAACATGCCCAGCTATGCAGATATTTCATTTAAAAGACAGTAGTAGCTTTGCCTGGACATCACCTGGGGAATATTGCTCATTTTATAGTGCAATCTGAAAATGAACCTTAGGCAAGATGGCTTAAATGATGTCCCTGATATCCATCTAGATGAATTTAAGGTAGAATTGTGGGTAGATAGGGTTGGATAAGCCCTAGAGGTAACTATTGTTTTTGTATCTTCTGGGTAATTTTAATGCAGAGTCAGGATTGGACAGGATTGGGAACCATTGGTTTTGAGCCAAGGTTCTGAAGCCCAGTTGCCTGGATTCAGATTCTTTTTGTAGTTCTGTAGCTTGGACAAATTGTCTAGCCACTGTGAACTCTTGGAAGACAGACAGAATTGACAGGAGTCTGACAAAATGTTGCAGCTCTTCAATTGGTGCTTGGCACATAATAGGCGCCCAGTAGATGTTAGTTATCTGGCATTCAGCTAAGTAGTCACCTGAGCAGCCCAGTCTTAGAGAGAGAAATTGAAATAAGTATCTTCATACTCACAGCTACACCAGATGTCACGTGATTTTTTTTCTTATATCCACAATAATAACACTTGTTAAATGCTTACTGAGTTACAGTTGCTCTGCTTTGTGGCAAATTTATCCTTTTAGCAATTCCCTGAGGGATTTTACTGATGAGAAAACCAAGGTGCTGAGAGGTTGAGAAACTTGCCCGAGGTTCCACAGCCATGTATGTAACAGGGCTGTGCTTGAAGGCTGGACTGACTGGAAGCCTGGATTCCTATTTTGTTAGCATTTAGGGACACAACTTGAGACAGGCTACATCTATTATGCTTCAAAAGGGATTTGCTGCTTTTGGATGTCTTGTTGCTAAATAGCTTTGGTCCTCATGTCTCTAGGATCAGAGATTTCATGGTTGGGAGGGACCTTCTAGTTCATTTAAACCAGCTTCCTTTCCCAATACTTCAGGCCCTTGGGCATCCAGAGATTGTGTGAGAATCATTATGGGGCAGGCAGCTTTGTCTTAGGATACTTCCCTGTGTGGAACATTGCTCTCCAGGAATTTCTGTTTGGTAGTTGCTGTGTGACTTCTAGGAAAAACATGTTAAGTACTTTGCTCATTTATGTATGACTGCTCAGGAGATAGAAATACAGCCTCACTTCCCCCCTTTTTTTTTCTTTTGACACAAGGTATTAGGATAGCCCACTGGCCTTAGAGTTGGTCCTCCTGCCTCAGTCTTATAAGTACTGTGTTAATAGTGTGAGCCATCTCATTTGGTCCTGACCAACTTTGTTTTGTATGACATGTCTTTCTGATCTCCTGTCTCTCTCTGGTTTCTAAATGTCCTTCCTAAGACGCTGTGTAGACTCTGGCTACAGTGTATGTATTGAGTGGCAGACTTGTTGCTCCTTATCTTCTTCCTTGTGCCAATCATGGTAGTAGACTTGTCTTCAGCCCAGGAATTCCTTCTACCTGTAACTGAGTGCTGTGCTGGGGTTACAGGGTTGCACCATCACACCTGTTTTCTGTTATATGGCTTTTATCTCTCTAACTGTCTTCCTCGTTATATCTTTTGCACCTTAAATCTGTGTAGCTTCTTTTTCTTGATCCAGTTGTCAGCGTGTAGTCCCATCTTCTGCAGAGAAGCAGATGTACTGATTTCCTGGACTGTCCACATTGACTCTTGATGGAACACCCACCATCCATGGTATTCCTTGAATTTTGTTGATTTAGTAGTCTTTTAAACATACAAACCCCCAAACCATGAGTCTAGTGTGGCTTTTCTTAGAACCTTTTCTTTCTCTCTCTCTCTCTCTTTCTTTTCTTTTTTTAACTTTATTTAGTCTATGTGTCTTTTACAGCATGTATCTTGATCCAGTTCATTTCCTGTCCCTTTGCATCCACTCCTACACCTCCCCCAAATAAAACAGGACCAGTTCTCCTGCTTTCACACCCTCAGGGTTGGTTATCTGCATCTACACCTGGTGAGGTACAGGGGCAGCTCTCCCAAGAGCTGCAGCTGATGAGGGGTAAGGACAGTCCTCCCACTCTTATGACCCCAGGCCAGCTCCTCTACCTGTTTCAGGCATTGATGGGGTTAGGAGGAAGGGCATCTCTCTCTAGTCCATGCTGCCATATGGCAGATGAGGGGTGGGGCTAGGTCTCCCACAGTCACTACTTTGGGGCTGGCTCACCCACACCTCCCAGTGGGGTTGACTCTTGTGTTGCCCAGGCTAGGTACAGGGTCTGCTCTCCCAAGTATTGTAGCTGGTAGGGGTCAGGGGTAACTCTCCTACTCTTATGACCATAGCTCTCTCTCTCCTGCCTCAGGTGTTGATAGGGGGAGGGTCTCTCCTCCTCCCGTGCTGCTACAAGACAGATAGGTAATGGGGACAGCTCTCCCGTGCTCATAATTTCAGGGCTGGCTCACACTACCTGCGCCAACAGGTTGGTTCTTAGAGCGTTTTCATACTGTTACTGTGTTAGGGCCACTGGCTTTGTTTTTAATTAATCTAATCTGAGACCTGAGGATTGACTTTTTTCCTTTGGGTTTTCTGAAGTCTGCTTTCCCAAAGACTTGAATTTTTGTCCTACTCACTGTTGTTGGTTAT